TATAACATATGAATTCAACGAGTCAGATGAAAATAGAAGGCTGCAGAGAGCTGAGGGGAAAGTAAGCCGTGTTTTAAAAAACAGCATATCATAATTAAGGGTGGGCATCGACAGCAGGTAAACTCTGTATTCTCTATCCACAATTAGGTGACAGAGACCAAATATCAGGATCTGGGCATACCAACTTGTGTAGCAAACGCCATTAAAAAGAACCTGAAGTGTTATCTCTTCAGATACAATAAACCCATGTGTAAGACACTATACTACACTAATCCAGAGTGAGCCAAATTTTCCAAATAGGAGCTAGGTGTATTGTGTGAGCAAAACTTATGAGTTTGAAAAAATGTATACCACCAACACGATAAGTATGCCTCTTACTAAGGATATAAACCATAACGTTGCGAATAGAAGAGAGGAAATAAATACTAATATGGCTGAAAATATGTTATGCATTTAACAAAGGAGGACAAAAAAAGATACAAGCCAAAAAATGCTGAAATTAGAAATAGAACACAGTAAGTGCAAAAAACTAGACGATCTATATGAAGAAACTAGAGCAAAAGTAATAGGGCTCTTTGCCACAAAGCATTGTGTGCACAGATTAGCTTGATTTGGAAAAGTCCAAGAATTTCTTTGAAAAATTTTAAATAGATTTGGCAGTATGAACAACTTAGGTTCGTAAATGGCACGACTAAAGATATTCAAACAACAAAATTAGGAACGAATAGAAGACTACGGTGAGAAGGTGCAACATCCGTACAACAGATTAACTATACTACATGATTTAAACCTAAGCATATTGCCAATTCAAAATAAGTTCTAAAAAAAAGTGTGGAAGTGGTAGCAGTAAAACAATTTATATTGCACTCAAAACTTAGGTGAAAAATATCAAGTTAAAATCCAAGGACCCTCTCTGAAGTGGTAATAGAAGCACTAAACATCGAAATCGACCTTAGTCTATGGCATACAATACCAGTAAAAACTTCACCTACTGCAGCCTTTATACAATAAGGCAACAACCGAGTATATACCATAAATAAACCTGGTATAAAAAAGAGAAGATATGACAGAAATCACTAGTGAAGCATAAAGAGCAGCAGCAGCAAATAAAAAACGCTGTACACTGTGGGGGACCGGGCATTTAGTTTGGAAATGCAAAAAACTACAAGTGTTGATAAATGACAGAAAAACTTTGAGAGACAAAGAAAAAAGAAAGAAAAGGAAATTACAATTATTTTCAGATTCTAGGACAGTACGTAAGAGACTACCGCTCACGTAAACAAAATAGAGAGAAAAAGAAGAGAACTACAAGTGTTGATAAATGACAGAAAAACTTTGAGAGACAAAGAAAAAAAAAGGAAAAGAAATCACAATGATTTACAGATTCCAGGACAGTACGTAAGAGACTACCGCTCACGTAAGCGAAATAGAGAGAAAGAGAAGAGATGCCGACACGAAGGGCAAAACCAACTGAAAGAGACAAAGGAAAAAAAATAAAAGAAAATTACAATTATTTTCAGAATCTAGGACACTACGCAAGAGACTACCACTCACGTAAGCGAAATAGAGAGAAAGAGAAGAGATGCCGACACGAAGGGCATAACCAACCTGCAAAAAGAAGTGATTTAAGTAACAATTATTACAATAGTTATTGCAGGTTTATAACAATGGCTCAATTGAGCCACGTAACAAAAACAACAACTACAATGACAGGTATAGTAATTACAACCCTAGACGTGATAACTATAATAAAAAACGTAGAAATGGTGACTTGTACAATAATTACAACTGGGACACATTCAGCTGTTATGAAATTGACTATAAAAATAAAGATAGCAGGAGCGATTATTACAGGGCTTATATTAGGGTTGGTACATCGAAAAAATAGCATACACGGCCTTGACAGCAGAAGAGAAAAATCTGCTTCTTTAAACTTGCAGGATATTCTACATGGTTTTAAAACGTTAAACGTAAGCTAGAGAGAGAGAGAGAGAGAGAGAGAGAGAGAGAGAGAGGCGTGTTCGGCAAGGGAGAATTTGCGAGAATGGGGCCGCAGACGACGGAGGAAAAAAAGACAATGGAGGTGGAAATGCACCACAACAGCTTGAGAACTTTCGCAGCGCAGAAAAAAACTGAATGTACTACAGCAGAGTATAAATACCCTTCTACACAGCAGAATGGAATACTCACAGAAAAAGGCATAAGAGCCCACAAAAAGGATAATCGGACAAAGGTGCTAGATACCCTTGTAAAGAATGACAAACGCATGCTTGTAAAGTGTAATAAATCAATATGGTAGATTCCCAAAATAACCAACAAACTCGCGAGAACGCGGCATATGCCTTCCTCGGCCTAATTATGGGGGCTTTAATTAAAGAATGATAAGCGGCTTTTTATGCGGGTATAGGTGAAGAGATTTTGATTATAAAGGAAACTTTTGTGCACACTATATGTAATCTTCCATGATTTCCCAATTGACATAAAAAATTATAGAGTAAGATACTTTTAAGCGATACTAAGGCCAGATAAACACCGATGACGGTATCATTAAATTAGATGAAGTAAAGATACGGATTTTAAATAGATTTGGAACCAATTATTAGAATGTAATTATAGTGGGCGATTTAAATTCAAATTTATTGGCTGAGGATAACCATTTAAAGTACTAACATGGGTTAATAGCTGAATATTTACAAAAAACACAATTGTGGCTTGATGTTATTTTGGTCGATTCAGATCACAAAGTAAAACTATTGCATCAGCTTTTCCGTGAGTTCCAGTAAGTAAACGATACTGTTGAGTCTTTTCGTGATCTCACTGTTGGATTAGTAGAACAACTAGCACTTTAGTAAAAAAAAAAAAAGAATCAGAGAAGCGCTGGTGCCAAGGATTGATCCAAATATTCGTCAGCAATGTTAGCAGCGTGATAGGCTGTATGGATCGATTCGTAAAACTAATAACTTAGTCTTATTTGCTGCGTATAGGTGGCTGCGCATGTTGATCTAAGGCCTGAATAAAGTGGAGAAAAAGCGTTATCTCAGAAACCTTTTATCGGGATAGTTCGATCAGGCAAAGTGCTGACATATACAAGGCCGTTTTGGCCTGACCGTGAGTAGAACGCATTCGCTGCCTAATGCCATTTCTCTGGAGGTACTACTAAGGTATTATGAATTGATACCATGCACTCATCCACCATGCGCTACGACTGAGCTAAATGTTATATAGAGTCGTGTTTCAAACGTTGAGGTGGTTTTTTATTTTCGACTGCTAGGCGTAAAAGTTGTGGTTCTGATGAAAGGTGTTCTTTAATATCGCCTATGCAGTCTGCATTGCTAAAAGTAATTCACGGTATTAGGGTTGGTATGGATAAACTTCAATTTCTTAATAGAGGCAATTAAGTGGTTGCATTTTTATGTCTTAGATCGGTCCTTTAGCCTTTTTGACGTTAATAGTGGACTGATTGCATCTGTGCTGTGCACCTTGGGGGTTTCTCATAGTTACTCACCTGACCCTATATTGTTTATAGCATTTAGGGATTCGGTACTTAGTGGTCTTTGTGATTGTAAAGCAATGATATTTGCTGGTGAGCTCCAGATCTACCTACAGTCGAGGCCTCAGGATCTGCCACTCAATAATTGCACTCACAAATAAGGATGTAAAAGCTGTGGTTAGATGGTCCGAAAACTGGAGAATAATGCTTCATAATGATAAGGCTTGTGTGGTCTTATTTGCCTCGGTTCAATATCATTTGCATATAAGCAAGAAACCACTGCCATGGGTTTTGGTTAGGGATCACTACATACCATTTTGAGTAGCATTAGGTCTCTAGGTGTGACTGTCTATAGTAACCTCTCGTAGAATACACATATTTTTGATTTTTGCTCTAGGGTGAATGGAGTTTTATATCGTTTGCGTTACAGGGGTAGCCTGCTATTGGTTCGATTATGCAAATTGTTTGCTAGTGCCTTAGTATTGCCCCACTTTGAGTATTGATATTTGGTTCACATGAACCTCTCGGACTATCTTGATTTAAAGTTAACTAGGCTTGTGAACTCTGATGTGCGTTATATTTTTTGTTTAAAACGTGTCCTACTCGTCAACCTCATGATGCTCAACTAAGTTGGCTTACTGTGCCTGGGCGTATGAATTATCAACTTGGTCTTGTTATGTAATCAATCTTACAAACTGGTGTCCTCGAATATTCAAATAGTCTCTTTCTGGACATTGGCTTATTATGTCACTCAACAAAAAAATGATACATCGAGAATTAGATGTATAAATTGATTGAATCTAAATTCTTAATTACTTAGAGTGCTGTTACGACTGATTGTTCATTGGGTTGAAATTGTATGGAAGCGTTTAATCTGGCGTAGTATAATGATTGTGTCTGTGTCGTAGGTGCAAATAATTTAGCTGCGCCCAGTTTCGTCTTATTTATTGTTGTGTATTATTATACTTATCCCAAACTTGAAAAATTATACCAATCTCTTGCGATCTGGATATTTTATTCGTCGAATTAATAAACTTTCATTAATCAGTCTGTTCTTATTTGTAGTTCTTAATGGTGGAAGCACGAACTTTCGACCTAGTACCTTTTGCATGTGTTTATGAAGTCTAGCTTTTTTTATTCATGTTATGAAAGAGATTTTTAAAACATATAATTTTAAGATAAAGTATCTTACTGTTAGGAATGCATTAGAATATATCAAACGCCAAAGTCAGTTTCTTAATGTTATAGTTCGTTCACTTATCTAAATTTGTAGACATTTTGTTGGTTGCAGCTGTCTACGTATCTTTATTTTTTATGTAATTTGTAAGTGCGATATGGTGTTATTATATTTTAATCTTTCTCTTGTCTTTTTATAATACAAACATTTACATTATTGTACGTTCACATTAACAGGAAATACACTTGTCTGTATTATATGATAATTTATAAACATATTTACGTAACCTTAAATTTGCAATATTATTCAACCATTTGTCTGTAATTTTTTCAGTTAAAATTTATGAAACAATCAAGCCAAAGTATAAAAACATAATTTTATCAAGAATAATATGTGATTCAAACATATCTGCACTAAAAACAGCAAATAATAGTAATCCAATTATCATTGGTAGAAGTTGTGATGTGACGATAAATTTTAAGGGGTATGATGGCTTTTACCTAGGACCTAATAATCACACTTTTCAATCTTTAGCAATAAGTTTACCAGTAAGAAAATGGCACTATTATCAAGATTTAAAAGTATCTACGTTTGACCTACTTCATTTTCCATGGTTGAAAAAAAAAAACTACCTAATCGAAAAAATCAGAGACTCAAAGCGATTTGGATTATTAATTGCATCATTGAATGTAAGCGAGCACGTAAACATTCTTGAATCAACCAAAACTATTCTTAAAAAAATGTCCAAAAAAATTTATACATTTAGTGTAGGAAAAGTGAACCCATCTAAGCTTGCAAATTTTCAAGAGGTAATAAAAAACCATTTATTATTTATTAAAATATCATGTACACTTCAGTGTTTGTGGTTTAATGTAATTTAATTTAGTTTTTAAAAATAATACTTTTATAATTTACAAAAATTTTATAATATAAGGTATGTTATGTATTCTTTATAATTTGCGGGATCCTCATTCACACTAGCAATTAAGGCATATGTCTTTTTTTTCAATTTCTGTCACTACAATTTCAACATCTAAATCATTAACATCCAATTGAGTTATGTCAATGACACCTGGAAAAATTGTATCATTAACTAGAGTAGGTCCTTTTACATTTTTTTAAGGGTACACTGTCTCCTTTTTGGTTGTCGTTGCTTTTTTTCACTATTTTTTCTTCCTTTATTTCTAATAAGTCTTTATAAATGTCTTTGCCAAAATTAATGAACCATTTATCTTGTTTTATATGTATATCGTTGTATTTATAGTTTTATATCTTATCTCTTTCAAAGATGTCTTCAAAAATTAACGTTTCATGAAATCGGAGATCTTGGCTTTCATAGAATTTTCCGTCTTTTCTTTCAAAATAGGTGCACCTAGTCGGTGTGTACATCAGAAAAGCCATGTGAGTAGAAGTAGGATCTAATATTCCTTTGGATCTTTAGTAATTATCCATACAACAACCTGCTTCACCTAAAGATTTCACGTGATATGCCATCCTTTACATTCTTTATATTTAAAAATTAGAAATTTGATAAGTAAGAGGGCATTTTCAATATGATATGTATTTTAGTACACTGATTACAAGAAATATGATTAAAAATTTTTTTAATCGGTGGGTCAATGGTAAAACTGTTCTTCAATGTTTACTTTCTTAATATCTTGTAAACAGTATCAGGTACACATAAAACAAAAATACAAGCATGTAAGGCAGAACATTTATTATTAAAATGTTTTTTTACTTATCTTTTAAAACACACCAACTTTTGTGAAAATAAAAAATTATAAAAGACATTTTTAGACATTGTAAGAAAAAGTGAAAAGGAGAAAGCAGCCTCTGCCAAACCTAGCCTGACGATCTCCATGCTTCACCACATACAGTGCAAGTAGACAAAGTTCATGTATTGGTGTGGGGAGAGAAGCAAGAGAAGAGACAGCAGCTAAGCAGGCAACCAGGTACTGCTAGATTAAATTTTTATTTTTTAGCTTGCAGTCAGAGCTCAAGATTTTTTTCAAAGTCTAAAAAAAGCTTGTAACGGTAAAAAAAGTCTCCGAGGGACACGGTTTTTTCATGTTTTTCGGAATTTTCCATTGATTGGGTATAGTCTCAAGTTAGAGTATTTTTTAAAAATTTTTTTATAAAATCTGTTGAACTAGTTGGTATTTATGAGTTACAGTGAACTTAAAAGATAGTACGATAAATTATAATTCGCACAATACTGAAATAATGTATTCCAATACTAGTACACAATCATTTAGTATAACTATACCGTAGAAAACTGAAGAAACTTAAGAATTTCTTATAACGTCAGTATATTTTGCGTAAATCAATCTTATGATTTTACTATCTACATTATGACAATATGATACGTAAAGACTCCCAAGGTTTCAACCACCATGGTCTTTTCCATCATTGTGAAATTAGCATTAAAATTACTGCACTAATAAACAGTGATAAAAAAAGTATTATAACTATACTAAAAATTACTTTATTTTTACGAAAGTAAAGAGATTCTTACGTAATGACGCAAATGATGACTCTAAAAGTAATTTTTATTGTATTTTTAATAACTATTATTATGCAGCAGCTCTACAAAAATTAGTACACGGCGTAATAAAAATTACTATGCCTAATATAGTAAAAATTTCGATGGTATAATTTCTTGCCACTTGACATGTAAACTTTATTGTAATCGTTTTAATATATCCCACATTCTAAAGTAGAATTTGCTATGTTACATGTAAAAAGTCTTGACAATAAGCTTGATTGGAAACATAGTTTGTTAGGGCAAAATAATTCTTTTTTTGGCTTTTTTCAGTTATTATTGATTATTTCAAAAACTGTCGTTTCAAGAGAATAAATTTCACATAAAAGTTGTTCCTACAATGATATGAGACACGAATTAGGTGTTTAAAAAAATGAAAAATATGCTAAAAAATAAAAATTTAAAATTAACCATTTTGTAATGTGACACCAGTTGCAATGTTTTTTATTCAATTTATGGCATGAAGTAGTACTGTGATACATTGATCTACGGTTCACAGTTTAATGAAGTTAAGTTTTAATGAGCATAAAAATAATTCAGCCAAATCATTATGAATCTAGGGTACGTATGAAAAAAGTTATGGGCATATAAATTTTAGCAGGTTTTATATGTAGTCTTATGGAAAGCAGCGGTTTTGGCTTGTTCATTTAAGTATTGCAAAATATCTGCCGCTGAGATTTGAATAAAAATTGGTAGAGCAATGAAAAAAACAAAAGAAACATTTTGCTTACCTCAAAATTAGGATTGAGTACATATGAGAATGGTAACATGTAATCCAATAAATAAAAAAAAATGATGTTTAACAAAAGGCAGGCTGCTACAATACGAGTGTGGTACCATCGCAAAATACGTAAGAGCACGCGCTGTTCAAAACATAATACAGTTAATGGATAAGTTTATTCATTTTTGAATAAAAAAATGGATTCATACTGTTTTAAAAATAACATTTTACAATACATTTTTTTTCTGCTTAAAAAACATGAAATTAAAATTTTTTCTATCCACGTAAAAAGGAATGCTATCTCTTTTCATGCTTACAAATTTGATTAATCGTTTAATAAGAATGACCATATATGAAATAGAAATAAAATGAAAATGCATAAATTATTACATAAAAAACAACTGAATAATAATGGAACATTAACACAAAATTAATTTTTATTGATATTTATACAACATCTCAGATACAAAGGTAATGTATAGGAGTTAAAGTCTTAGATTTTTATTATTGACAAATATGACAATATTATTGCGATAGCTTTTTTAGATAATCGTGTAATAAGGTTGAAACTTGTTCATTTTTGGTAATTCTTATGCAACCGTTTTTATCTGCATTAAAAAGATTGACCCACCTTCGAACGTTTTTTTTGTACGTACTACTAATTTGTTCGTAAGTAATATTTGAGATTTTGAATTTTGTCATGATTTCCTTCAGAATCATTACATTGCTAAGAGCATGGTATATGTAATAGCCATTTATTTGAAAGTTGCAAGCTAAATTTTCTAATTTATTTTTGCTCCTCCTTCCTTTAATTTTTGTATAACTGGAAGAGTGTCGCAGAATTTCTAAGCCCTAGCTTGAAAATGATTAATCATATGTACTGTTTCCATCACAGTTATCAACCTGAGTAATCGAAATTACAATTGTGTGCAATTCAAACGCACTGTCTGTTAAAAGAACACAAGGATTTGCACAAACTGAGAATCGCTTTAGACAACATGATAGTGATGACAGTGGTTTCGTAAAAATGAGGTCTTCTTTCGATTATTCGTAGACAATGAACTTGACTAGATTTCTCTGTGAATTTTTTAATGGGATTGATGTATACTGCGTACTCATTTTCTTTGCATTTTCCAGCTGTTTGCAAAATATCAGAAGTCGTGGAGAATCCGCAGGTTTCCTAGCCAAATAAAATGATGATTGGATCAACATTACTATTTATCACAGTTATTTCAATCGTTTGACTTTCATACGTGATTCCCTCTCTTTTTAAGTTCAGATTTATACTTTTTTAAATAAATTCGTTTGTATTTCGCCCAAATTTTTTTTCATATTTTCTTAAATCAAAAGTGTCTATTTTATTACAGTGATTGGCAGTATGTTTTGCAGGTGACAAATTTAGTATTGTAGTTAATGGCATCTAGTATTGCTCGCCCATATTTTTTTATTCATTACACAGGCCACTGTAATATCACTAGCAGCAGTTTCACCATAAAGTCTGGTTTTCGGAGTTTTACTTACAATCATTAAATTTAGGCTTCCATTACCATTACTAGAGGCTCCAGCGACAAATTGACTAGATTTGAAGGCAAGTAAAATAAAAATCTCTTTTGAAGCTTCTAATAATAGTTCACTATAAAAGCCATCGCAAAAATTTGTGTGCTTATAATTATTGGGTTCAAGGTGACGACCACACAAACTTCCACAGTTATCATGGATATTGAAAGCATGATAAGGTACATTCTTAATAGCTTTGGCCATCGCTTCCCTGTAACCTTGATCCTGAGAGATTCTGTATGTAAAGCATGCAAGGGGACACTTCTATTTATAATATACGCCTTACATTTATATTCAGATTCTTCTCTACATTATATTTATCCTTGAAATAGAAAATTCAAGGGTACACATTTTTTTTATTTGAAACGCGAAAATTCAAATTTGAACGCCGCGTGCGGGGAATGTGCGTCTAGTACGTTAAAAAAATGCTAGAGCGCGTTCACCTGAAGAAGGGGAAACCTGCTACTCAAAAGGAAACAACGTTGGCATAAAAGGCACCAGCGCGCAATGTAAAAGGAGTCCTCTTCCAGCGAACCTGGGACGCGGAGATCCGCTGTTACCCAGACCTGGAACTCTCCCGTGCACCGGTACATCACCGCGACGAGCACAAGGTGAGAGAAATAGACCAAGTACGAAGGCGGAGAGCTGAAAAGTAAGTTTGCACACCACCAATAGGTAACACTTGTACTTATCGGCTCCTAGTTGGACTTTCGGTGCTCGACTGCTTTAAGCGTGGAGACGACGCATCCCCAAGTAGTCAAAGCACTAGGGTTAGCGACCACGTTCTTAGGGGAAGTTCCTGGGTCGACGACTTGAGCAGTGCTCAAGACACCCAAGGGCCCTGAGAACGACCTAACCCTACATGACTTGGGAGGATAGGTAGTTACCTAGCATTAACCTTCCGTGGTTGTACTAAAAATTCGTGCTAGTTTAACCTAACGTGTCTAAGCGGAGATATTAAGGAGGGAAAATTCAAATTGTCGTTCACG